AGGATGAAGCTGTAAGGCAACATTTGGCACCCTCTGTGTGTCTGTGTACACACTATAAGAAAGGAAAACTGTATTAAAATTGTATTACTCAATATATACCAATACACACACACGCACACGCACGCACGTATGCACACATTCGCCACTTCCTCTTTATCTATTTGTCTATTGATGGGCACTTAGGTTGCTTCCATATTGGCCATTGTAAATAAGCACTGCAATGAACATGGGGGTGCATATATCTTTCTGAATTAGTATTTTGGATTTCTTCGGATAAATACCCAGGAGTGGAATTGCTGGGTCATAAGGTAGTTCTATTTTTAATTTTTTGAGGAACCTCCATATTGTTTTCATAGTGGCTGCACCAATTTGCAATCCCACCAACAAAGCACAAGGGATCCCTTTTCTCCACATCCTCACCAGCACTTGTTTGTTGATTTATTGATCATGGCCATTCTGACAGATGTGAGCTGGTATCTCATTGTGATTTTAATTTGCATTTCTCTGATGATTAGTGATGTTGAGCATCTTTTCGTATGTCTATTGGCTATCCGTATGTCCTCTTTGGAGAAATGTCTATTCAGGTTCTCTGACAATTTTTAAATTGGACTGTTTGTATTTTTGGTGTTAAGTTATATGAGTTCTTTATAAATATTGGATATTAACCCCTTATCAGATATATCATTGGCAAATATCTTCTACTATTCAGTGGGTTGTCTTCCATTTGTTGATGGTTTCCTTTGCTGCACAAAAACTTTTTAGTTTGATGTAGTCCCATATGTTAACTTTTTCTTTTGTTTCCCTTGCCCAAGGAGACGTATCAGAAAAAAATAGATATCACTTAGAGCAATGTCAGAGGGCTTACTGCCTGTTTTCTTCTACGAGTTTTTTGGTTTTGGGTCTTACGTCTTTAATCCATTTTGAATGTATTCTTGTATATGGAGTAAGAAGGTAGTTCAGTTTCATTTTTTTGCATGTATCTGTCCAGTTTTCCCAACACCATTTATTGAAAAAACTGTCTACCTGCTGTATGTTCTTGCCTCCTTTGTCATAGATTAATTGACCATATACACATGGGTTTACTTCTGGGCTCTCTCTTCTGTTCCATTGATCTATATGTCTGTTTTTATGCCAGTATCATACTGTTTTTATTACAATGGACTTGTAGTATAGTTTGATATCAGGTAGGGTGATGCCTCCAACTTTGTTCTTCTTTCTTGGGATTATTTGTTTTAGTTTTGTGAAAAATGACATTGGTATTTTGATAGGGATTGCACTGAATCTATAGATTGCTTTGGGTAGTATGAACATTTTAATGATGTTCATTCTTCCTGTCCATGAGCATGGTATCTGCTTCCACTTATTTNGATAACGGGGAAAAGAGATGAACAAAATGACAAAACACTGACAATTACTGAAGCATGTTTAACGCATACAAATGGTTTATCACGCTATTCTCTACTTTTTTTTTTTAACATTTCAAAATTCCCCAAATAAAAGGTTGTTTTCCAATTACATATTTCGAGTACAGTTCTGTTTTCTTTGTTTTAACAAGAAGGCAAGACTCAATAAATATCGATGTATGAAAATAATTTAGAATAATGCTAACAGTGGTTCTTGACTCATGTTTTCCACCATCTTCCTAAATGTGGGTATATTAGGCAATTCACATATATATAGCTCACCTTTTCCTTTGTTCTGAGCTCATCAAACATCTGTTGAATTTCCAGCTTCCAGTCATCTTGCATGGAATGAAAAGATTCCTGAGGCATTTCAGTCATAACTGCCCCTTCAATAGCAGTCAGCTGTTCAAGAATTAAGGCAAATGATGGACGAATATGCGGGTCTTGTTGCCAGCATTCTAAAATAAACAAGAATCACATTAATTTCGTTTCTCAGCATAGTTCAGCTTATCATCCCATGCTGATAGTGTATGCAGAAGATTTAACAAATCTCCTGATAATGATTTTGAACATTGTCTTTTACACAGTGTCCCTGTCAGCAGCATGCATGATAATTACTATTAGAGCTCTTGTTGTCTCTATTTTATGACATCAGTGTGTGGATATGTGCTTTCCTTGTCTTACCAGGAACTCTGTGTTTTGGGGCCTCAGATGGCCAGATGATTTACTGAGATAGAGTTCCACAACTCAACTCAAGAAAACCAAAGTCTCTAAAATATTATAATCACAAGAAAGGTTCTGAGAAATAGCCTCATCATGAAGTAAGCTGACTTGCTGTTTATAAAAAGAGTTAGTTAATTTTTAAGAGCTAAGGACTAAATAGATAAAGACATGGCAAACCATGCCAGTTAAGACGGTAAAACATTTTTGAACATTAGGTAGGATTTAAAATAGCAGATCGGGAGCCAGCTTAGTACTGTCTTTGAACTCTGCTAGTGTGCTTGGTGAAAACTTTATTACCAGTCAGTCGAATTTTGTACATAAATGAGTCACCGATAAAACTGGACTGTTTTTAAGTTACTCAGACCTGACATCTTAGATCAGAGACAAGGTTTCTAAGTCTTATATAAGTACTTAAAAGCATTTGAAAATGAGAATGACAGAAATTACTCTTTGGGTTAAAAAAAGAAGAGGTGTTCTGATGGTGATTCCCCGGAGACACACAGACAATGGTGCACAGAGACCTTTCATGAGCTTGGTGAACGGCTCGGGGCAGGTGGATGGGATGGGCAGTGTTAGCTTGTTGACGGCCACCCCATAAGCCACAGCGAGGCCATCAATGCCACGATAGGGGACCTCTCCAGTCAGCAACTCCCAAAGGAGGACTCCATAGCTAGAAAGCAAAGTTTTCATAATGTTAAAAGGGTGAGACACTATCTTTTCCTTATGACACACTTGGGATAAATGCATCAGTACTTTCCTCCAGCTCCTAGGAAGACTCCTCTCTCTTCCAACAGAGCCCCTAAGTGGCCCTCATTCCAAGGAGAGAGAGGTGCTCCTCTAGTTCCCATCTCAGACACATTCCTTCACAGAAATCAGCCGTGCATTCGAAAGACAAATTTAAACTACTTCCCAAACAGGAAAACTTAGGAGCAGTACATGATTGAATTTAGCAGGGTCCACACCAGGCCACACTTTGGGAGTATTGTGGGTGCTTTGATGTTTGTCCTTCTACCTCATTGTTTCCACACCACATAAACCCGCTTGAGGATTGTTAGGACATGAAGATTCTAGCCCCACAGAAATCTCATGCTACACACCACGGGACTGAGATCAAATCGCGTGGATTCTATTTAAAGGTTTTTGAAATTGTTTATCTTTCTGCGTCTCCCTTCGTATTTCAGGAGACATGCTACTAATGTTTTCACTATCCTGTTTAATGGTAATGGACCAAAGAAATCAACGTGGGCCTCCCTGTGCTGGCTGGTAGCACGTGACATCATTTTGTAACGGAGGAGGCTAAAGTGAAACGGGTGTGAAAAGCTAAGAACAACTGTAGTTGCCGTGCTTTCAAAGTGTCAGCAGATGTGATGTAGGTTTTCCGCTGCTTTTGGTCTTCAAGGCAAAAGCAGTTTCCAGACACCGAGAAAAGACACAGTATAAGGCCTTGTAAATGAACATTTAAAATGAAGCTCAAGGACCAAGTTTCACTCCACACCTGCCTCACAGGCTTTAAGGTATTAATAGTATAAGGAGCCTCGAAATAAGCGTGTACATTACATGTATTGATTCGCTTCCACAATACCAGTCAGTAACTTAGTTTCCCTTTTACCTTCTTCAAACCATAAAGCACACTTTAATACACACAAAAAATCAGTCACTCCAGGTGACCCACTTGTCTTTAAATTGAAACACATAAACATATAAGGAACAGTCACATTTACTTTCTTGTTTTTCTATTAACATAAGTAGTACAGCCCTACAGTCAAATTCACTTTTCTTATTTTTCAATTACAGTTGACATTTAAATTATATTAGTTTCAGGTGTATAGCATAGTGATTAGACATTGATATAATTTACGAAGTGCTCCCCCCAGATCTGTCTGGTACCCGCCCAGCACCATACAGTTATTACAATATTATTGACTATATGCCCCATGATGTACTTTACATTCCTGTGACTATTTTGTAACTACCAATTTGTACTTCTCAATTCCTTCACCTTTTCACCATGCCCCCAACCCCCTTCCCATCCGGCAACCGTCAGTTTGTTTTCTGTATCTGTGGGTCTGTTTGTAATTTGTTTGTTCATTTATTTTGTTTCTTAGGTTCCACATATAAATGAGACCATATGGTGTTTGTCGTTCTCTGACTGACTTATTTCACTTAGCATAATACCCTCTAGGTCCATCCATGTTGTCGCAAATGACTAAGATTTCATTCCTTTTCATTGATGAGTAGTAATCAATTGCATGAATGTACGTATACTGAGGTGCCAAGATGTTAATACTTTGATCAACGCTACTCAAGCAGTAGTTCACCATAATCATAAGTGTCTGGACGCTGATGGTAACCACTTTAAGCACCTCTTGTAATTAATTGCACAAGTCAAACACGACTTGTATTCATCTTTTGTTATCTATATATATTATTACAGGTTTTTCCTTTCTTAAAATGTGTATACAT